CCAGCTTTCTCATCCACAGGTAGGCATAATACTACCTTGTAGGGTTGCTATGAGGAGTCAGTGAGAAATGTAAATAAAATGTTTAGGGTGCTTGGCATCAAGAAGGAATTCAAGCAATGAGGAGGTATAATTAGGGGAAGTTTAGGTGTTTATTTGGGTAATTTAGGATGGCATGCTTTCTAAAAATTTTCTTTTTTTTTCTTTCTTAAATTTTCTAAAAATCTCTAAATCCTAATTTGTCCACAGAACTAACTGGCTATAGAGTCCTAGTTTATCTATGTTCTTAATATAACATTGGTGATTAACTTCCCTCCATCTTTTCCTCCCTCCCTCCTTCCCTGCCTTTGTCTCTCTTGTCTTCTCTTCTTCCTGAACTTCATACCTTCCTCTCTGTTTCCTTTTTGATCTATAAGCCTTGGTACTAAATTTAGGTCAGTGAGTAGTAAGTACTCCTAGGGAGAGTATACAGAGAACCTAACACATAGAAAGAAGATTCTCTCTTATCCTTAGCTCCGTTTTCTAGGAAACAAAGGAACTCTAAAATCTTGTAATCTCCCTCCCTTTATTTGGTTTTGTTTTTTTTTTTTTTTAGAGAGTGAGCGTGCGAGTGGCTGTCCCTGTTATTCTTATGTGATTATGTGTAGCCATCTACGTGTGTGTAAAATCTGTTTTTACCACAGCAAATTTTAGGGCAGATCTTGAGTTTTGTCTTGAACCTTGATGCCAAGGGTTCACCTTCAGACAGGCATGGTTTTCTTCTAAGAGACCGGACAAATAGATGATAGATAGATTCTCCTTAGCATTTTGAAGGAAATTTAAAGATTGAGTGATGAAAAAATTGACCCTAGCAGGGTCACTTAGTTGTTTCCTTGTTTGATGAAAACAAATTTAAAAACTGAGTTATTTTCCTTGACTTTATTTTTAGGAGATCACTTTGAAACCTGGGACCTAGCCTTTTCAAGTTACCATAAAACCAGTATTAATATAAATAACAAAGCAAAAAAAATCATAGAATAGTTTTTGTTTTTATTGACATTTATTATTTTGTGGTAGTTTTTAATTTTTGCAGGTCTTGTGAGAAAAGATATGGGAAAGCAGTGAAATTCTAGGATGGTATTGAGGTAGGCAGCCTGGGTCCAAGGATCCAGAGTGGGGGTTCTCCACAGGACCAGCCAAGAGGGTCCTTGGCTTTGCGCAGGATAGAAATCAAACATGAGCTGGAGAAAGTGAAAGAGTTTATTGAATAGCATGAACGACAGAGAATAGCAGATGGTCTGTCTGGGAAGTTTGGAAAGGAAAAGTGAATGAGTCTTATTGTCGCTTGGGGCTAGGGGTTTTAAATTGGAAAGGGGTCTAGGGCATGTGTTCCTTTGGGAAACCAGGTAGGGTCCAATCAAAGGCAAGTGTCAGGTGAACAATAGGTGTTATTTCATAAATTACTGAAGGTAGCAGTATTGATGCCAGTGTCAGCCAAGGTTTATTCAAAGCTAATGTCCTGGACCACATTTGGGATTCAGCTCTTCTTAGATGTTATCAGGTATTTGGGGCCTAGGGAACATTAAAGTGGGAACATAGCTTCTTTGGCTTATTCAGAGGCAAATATGGATCATGAGTAAATGGGGCCTACCAGAAAAACAGAGCCTTTCTAGAATGGAGTCCCTTCAGCTTCTTTACCTTAGTAGTTACAGCATTAGGAGACCCTTAGATAATACTATTAACAATTTCCCACATTTCTTAAGGTTCTAGTCTCCCTCATTTGAAAAACTTTTTTTTTTTTTTTAGGATTTATTTACTTATTTATTAGAGAGAGAGAGAAAGCGAGAGAGAGAAGAAGCAGGGGGAGAGGGAGGGAGAAGCAGACTCCCCACTGAGCAGGGAGCCCGACAGGGGGCTCGATCCCCAGACGTGGGGCTTGATCCCCGGACCTGAGCCAAAGACAGACACTTAACCGACTAAGCCACCCAGGCACCCCTGAAAATCTTTTTATTCACAGTAAATTTAATTCTGTTTTAGTTTAGTTTAACTAAATTAGTTTGTGGTTTAAAAAGGAGTTCAGAATGGGTCAGAATTTCTCACTGAAAGTTCCAACCTTTTTTTTTTTATGTTATGTTAATCACCATAGATTACATCATTAGTTTTTGATGTAGTGTTCCATGATTCATTATTTGCGTATAACACCCAGTGCTCCATGCAGTACGTGCCCTCTTTAATACCCATCAGGAAAGTTCCAACCTTTTTAAAGCTAATACTTAAATGCATTAAACCTAAATTTTATGTGCTACTTTTCTGTTAAAGGTAAAGTGTTCTTCCTCTTTTCTCATTTATTTTACAGTAAGCTGAGATTTTGGTAGAGGCAGATTTTAATCCCTAGTCCTCTAGGCTCTGTGAGTCACACAGGGACATTGAATGGTTTTCTTAGAACTGCAGTTTTAGTATAAAGTTAGGGACATAAATGTCGAATGTACCTTATTTTATGTATTAATAGGAACCAGACAGCAAGGTTTAAAAAGTAATTTTGTGTTTGGAAATAGGTAGATAACATGGAAGATGGGGGATTATTTAATTTAAAAAAGGGTTTTTTGAGAGGTTAAGAATTTTATCTTGCCAGGATACAGGGAGAGAGGGAGGAGAATTCTAAGTCTTGGTGAAACATAACTCAAAGACATAGAGTTAGTATTGGCATTCTATTTGCTTGTATATGGAAAAACCAGTAACAGATTGATTTAATCTATCAAAGGAAAAATAGGAGCGGGGGAAAAGAAAAAAAGACATACTTGGGAATAGTGAAGTTTGTTTCCCTTTACTTGCCTATGTTGCTGATGAACTGGCAACTAGTAAAGAGGACAATCAGGATATTCTGCCCTTGGTAGGTAGATGGGTCATCAATGAAAAACAGTTTTAGTTGTTTATGACTTCTCCAGAAGACGTTGGGTGTTTAACTGTGACTTCCATGTAAGAGGTTGTCTCTATATTATGTCTGCCACTGTCCTCATTAGCATTTCCATGCCAGATCTGTGTCAGAATTTCTCACTTACTTTATTACAGTCTTATTCCCATGATTTTTTTTTTCATTTTGTATTCTTAGGTGTGTTAGATGGGCTTTCCAAAGGTTGATGCTCCATCTTCCTGTGGTTTTGTAGGCCATTGTAAGTCATTATTTTAACATTGTCTGTGTGTAATTTGTTAGTCTTCAGATCAAAAAGTCTTAGTCTATTTGAGACTATATGGGAGATCTGAACTGCAATGTGTAAAGTGTTTGCAGGGGGTTTCTCTCCTCAGTTATTTAGAAGAAGTTAGTAAACCAACAAAAAGTAGTTATCTAAGTAGTTTATGATCTTTTACCTTACTTTTGCTTTGAAAGTTTAGGTTAGGATTTTGGAATATTTTGTGAATTGCTTTTTATTTTATAGTTAGATTTACTATTGCTATGTGTGTTATCTTTGACAAAGAGTGGAAATAATCTTAAAGTAAATTCTGTTTCCTTACAGTCAAAGGCCGTTGGCTTGCTAGATGTGGATGTGTATGGCCCTTCAATTCCGAAGATGATGAATCTGAAAGGAAATCCAGAATTATCGCAGAGTAAGTAGAGATAGCCAGTATGATAATGTACCATGTGTACCTTCTACACAGTGTAGTATAGTAATTCTGAAATCAGATATGGAGCCAGACTGTCTGGGTTTGAATCCTAGCTCTGTCATTGACTGTGTGGCTTTGGGTGAATTGTTTTTTTTTTTTTAAAGGTTTTCTTTATTTGAGAGAAAGAATGAGAGAGAAAGAGCACATGAGAGGGGGGAGGGTCAGAGGGAGAAGCAGACTCCCTGCCGAGCAGGGAGCCTGATGCGCGACTTGATCCCAGGACTCCAGGATCATGACCTGAGCCAGGCGGTCGCTTAACCAACGGAGCCACCCAGGCGCCCAGCTTTGGGTGAGTTGTTTAACCTCTTTGTACCTCACCTCTGCCCCATATGTAAAATAAGGTTAACAGTTGCTATGAGAAATCACTCAATTAGAAATTGCTGTTAAGTGTAATGCATTTGACATAGTGCCCAGCACATAGTCAGTGATCATTATCTCTTTACATTATATGTGTGGATGTATGGAAGTATTTGAATAGAAAGTATATATTTGTGTTAAAAGACATGAAAATTATTTTTTTCTAATCAGATTTTTGTCATATTTGTCTTAAGGTATTAAAAAAAAACCTCCCAAAACATTAGTTCTTTTGCCAGCCTTCACTGCTGTCAATAGGACAGTAATTTTTTGAGTAAATCTTTAATATTTACTATGCTTGTTATTACACTTTCTTGCAAAGCTATCAAATATAAAGCATTAAGAACAAGGAAATGCTGTGATCAAAAGACGAAAGTATTGGAAAGGGGTGCCTGGCTGGCTCAGTTGGTGGAACATCAAGCCCCACGTTGGGCTGTGGAGCGTACTTAAAAAAAAAAAACTAAAAAAAAAAAAATTAGAAGTATTGGGAAAACTTGTAATTTCTTGAAAAATGGTTTTAAGTGAATGAAATTAATTTATTAAAATTTATTTCAAGGGGTGCCTGGGTGGCTCAGTTGGTTAAGCGACTGCCTTCGGCTCAGGTCATGATCCTGGAGTCCCGGGATCGAGTCCCACATTGGGCTCCCTGCTCAGCGGGGAGTCTGCTTCTCCCTCTGACCCTCTTCCCTCTCATGCTCTCTGTCTCTCATTCTCTCTCTCTCAATAAATAAATAAAATCTTTAAAAAAAAATAAATAAAATTTATTTCAAATTATACGGTTGCCTGGGTGGCTCAGTGGTTAAGTGCCGACTTTTGATTTAGGCTCAGGTCATGATCTCAGAGTCCTGGGATGGAGCCCTGTGTTCGCTGTGTACTCAGTGGGGGAATTGACCTGAAGATTCTCTCTCCTTCTGCCCCCAGCCCGTCTGTGCTCCTGCGCACGCTCTCAAATAAATAAATAAATCTTTAAAGAAAATTGTATTTCAAATTATAATTAGAGTATATAATTGAATGTCTTTTCATTTCTTGTTGTGCTTTTTCTTTTCCATAGATCTAGAACAAAATGACTATTTATCGTAGGGTTTTTGTTGGAATATCTATGTAAAAGAAGTATTTTTTTTGTTGTTGTCATTAAATGTTAGTTAGGCATTGTCTGCTATTTAGTGTGCTTTCGTTGGTGCTTTAGTTGTTGGAGTCAGTTACAATGTTAAGTTCTGTGAATAATTGCAGGAAATTTGAAGATGTAGTGATGATAAAATTGACTCTAGCAGTCTTATATTGTAAGCACCCACTTAGTTTTCTTGTTTGATGAAAATATAAACTTAAAAACCTTAAGTTATTCTAGCTTCTTTGTTCTTTGTCCTTTCAAGTGGAATGCATACTTAGTTTGCAAATGTGTGACATACGCCAAGATGTCAAACTTTCACAAAGAAGGAGTAATGAATTTGCGTACTTTAAATGATAGACTTATTATGTCTGTCTCTTGATTAAAGTAATGTGAAAAGTGGTGCATGCAGCACATGAGTGATGGCAAAATGGAGGCCTTGGTGTCAGTTTTTTCTTAAGTAGTCTGTTCAGTTTATGCCAACATAAATACTTGAAGTGAACTTTAATTTCTTTCTTCTTGTTTTACTGAAGCTGTAATCTTAAATTTTTGCAAATTGGCTGCCATTAAATAGGCTTTCTGGTAAAGATGAGATACTGGAAATCTTGGAAAGCCTTAAAAGAATACTTCTTTTGTGTTGACAAGCTGATCTTAAGTCACCCAAGAAATAAAATGAACGATTAAGGCAATCACTTGAAAGAATGTGGATTCTTAAAGACCCAACTTATAAATTATTTTTTGAATCTTAGATAAACCTGCCACTATTATACTAATTGGCTTCATTTTGACATTTCTGTATTTTAACATGTTAATTTATCCTGTTGTACTCTCTATTGCAGAAAACAATGCAATATGAAATTATCTAATTAACAATAAAGAAAAACTGTGAAAGATTTGTTTTCAGCAGGCTGTAAATCTTTGTGTTTATGATTAGTACCTGTCTCAAGACAGATGGGTGTTGTCCTATGTCTCTTTCACTTTTTGAATTATATCAGAGAGCTATCCTTAAGATGTGTAGACTACTAGTATGGTACATTTGTAATGTGGCCATATTTTTTGGGCTGTTTGTACTTCACATTTCTCTTTTCCAGTCTAATTCCAGGTTAAAAAAAAAAAAAACACAACTTTTTTTCTTATTTCCTAATCTTCTGATCATTCCCAGTGTTTTTCAGAATTATTGGCACATTTTCAGTATCTTCTCTCAGATGAAAAAAATTAAAAGAACTTGCTATTGTTAGATAGTGGGTGGATTAACATGCAATTCTATCTTTAATACTCTATTTATGTGCCTTGCAAATTTTTGCTTTTTAAAAGAGACTTCATTATTGCTGATTCATAGTTACTTTAATAATTTACTGGGTACTTTAGAAACCTTTTAGGGGTACTTTAACAAAATATGTTCCATTTCTTTTTTTTCTTTTCCTTTTTTTACATGAGAACAGAGCTTTATTTTTATTTTGGATTAAGATATAATTCATATACCATAAATGTTACCATTTCTTTTTTCTTTCTTTCTTTCTTTCTTTCTTTCTTTCTTTCTTTCTTTCTTTCTTTCTTTCTTTCTTTCAGGTTAACAGAAAGTAAAGCATTTAGGAAGGTAGTTTGGTGAAAGCAGGATGTAAAATGAGTTTTGAAGGTGGAAGATGAGGTTGCCTGTGTGACTCAGTTGGTTAAGCATCTGCCTTCGGTTCGGGTCATGATCCCAGGGCCCTGGGATTGAACTCCACGGCAGGCTTCCTGCTCAGCGGGGAGTCTCTTTCTCCCTCTCCCTTGTGCTCTCGCTCCTCTCTCAAATAAATAAATAAAATCTTTAAAAAAGCCAAAATAAAATAAGATAAAATATTGAAGCTGGAGATGTGGGAAATATTCAAATGTGAGTTGGAGACTACAGGAAAAGTCAAAAAGCCATAAAAAATAACACTAAGAGGCATGAAAAGTTTTGATAGTCTAGATTTGGTGAGGTTAACTTAGAAGAAATTAGACATGTTACAAAAAAAAAGTCATCTTTTTCACTTTCCTTCTGGATCTCTACTCTAGATTTTGTGTCTGTGGTGTGCATACAGGGTAATGGATTGAAATGAGATTTTGTTGTCAAAATTGGATAGATTTTGTACACCTATGTTCATAGTAGCATTATCACTATTATTATTATGAATTCACTATTTATTACTCCATTATGTGGAAGCTATCCACCGTCTATCGGCAGATGAATAGATAAGCAAAATGTGGTATACACATACAATGGAATGTTATTCACTCTTAAAAAGGAGGGCAGGAGCTTCCTGGTTGGTGAACACATGATTTGGGGAGAGTGATGCGCTTGGAGAGGGCATGGAAGCTCTCTGTTCTTCCTCAGATCTTGTCCTATGCATCTCCTCCACCTGGCTGTTTCTAAGTTATATTCTTTTAATTTAATTTAAAATTATTTAAATTTTATTTAAACTTTATTTAAAATTAAATAATCTCTTCCTTTCCTTCCACATCTCTTCCTTTCCCTGCCCCACAACACTGAGAGCTAACCAATAATTTGAGTTACACTCTTTTAAATAAACTGGTGATATAGTTCCAGGGATTAGGATGTGGACATCTTTGGAGTACTGTCATTTTTCATACCATACCACCATTCTATCCCCGTCTCCCTGTACTCCGGGTTTTTACCACTGTGAACAAGACTGCTCTGAACATTCTGGACATTGTCTTTCATTGCACATCAGTAAGAATTTCCTTTCGCTATGAACCTAGGAGTGTAATATCCAGGTCATGAGTTTGTGAATGTTTATATTACTTTCCAAAATGTTGGCATTAACTTATGCTCTGTTCATTATATATAAGAGACACCATTGATCCATATCCTCTTTAAATAGGACATAAAGTGGTATTTCATTATGGTAAAAAAAATAAGGAAAATCTTACATATCTTGCAACATGGATGAACCATGAAGACATTATGCTAAGTGAAATAAGCCAGTCACAAAAAGACACGCTGTGTGATTCCGCTTAGATGAGGTACTTAGGATAGTCAGAATCATAGAGACAGAAAGTAGAATGGTGGTTCCTAGGACCTGGAGAGGAGGGAAGAATGGGGAGATATTGTATAATAGGTTTCAGTTTTACAAGATGAAAAAGGTTATGGAGATGGATGGTCATGATGGTAGGACAGCATTATGAATCTATTTAATACCACTGAACTGCAGGCTTAAAAATGGTTAAGATGGTAAATATTGTATATATTTTACTATAATGAAAAAAATTGAAAAAAATTAAATAGATTTGCTCTGGCAGTATTACCACAGAACAGGGTTTCTTAAGTGTCTATGGTATTGACCCAGTGATTCCATTTTTTTTTTTAATGATTTTATTTATTTATTTGACAGAGAGAGACACAGCGAGAGAGGGAACGCAAGCAGGGGGAGTGTAAGAGGGAGAAGCAGGCTTCCCGCCGAGCAGGGAGCCCGATGCGGGGCTCGATCGCAGGACCCTGGAA